AAGTACATTTACATAAAGCACATCTACATAAAGTACATCTACATAGAGTACATCTACATAAAGTACATCTACATAAAGCACATCTACATAAAGTACATCTACGTAATGTACATCTACGTAAAGTACATCTACGTAAAGTACATCTACATAAAGTACATCTACATAAAGTGCATCTACATAAAGTACATCTACATAAAGCACATCTACATAAAGTGCATCTACATAAAGCACATCTACGTAAAGTACATCTACATAAAGTACATCTACATAAAGCACATCTACATAAAGCACATCTACGTAAAGTACATCTACATAAAGCACATCTACATAAAGTACATCTACATAAAGCACATCTACATAAAGAACATCTACATAAAGTACATCTACGTAAAGTACCGCACGGAAGTACGCATTGCACGAGCGCATTGAATTTATGCCGGAATGTCAACGGCACAAGGAAGCTCGGCCGAGGGGGCAGCCACAGCCACAGACCACGACAGCGACGCAGTCCCTCGGTCGGACACCACTCGTGGCTCGCTCACTCGACCCGAACCCGAATCAACGATGCCAAACACGCCTCAAGACGTCGAGTTTAATTCATTGACTACGTCTGCAATGGGGACATCGTCCGGTGGCACCCAATGCACGTACACAATATAGAAATGTATCACGTGATATAAAAACAAAAACAAGTGATCACAGCGTTATTTTTTGAAATGTGTTGATGTTGTTTGGAAAACCGTCCATTACGGCAAGCGGGAGTTGGTTCCAATGCCTCTTACAAATGTAAATTCGTATTGTTATTATTCATGAGCTGTATGATGCAGACATCGCTTTTTCCTGCGCCACAAATCGCGCCTCAAGACGCAACTTATTCCAACGGGCTTTTTTCTCTTTCTTTAATCGGTTGGATTTCAGTTGGTGTGAGCCTGCGTGCGTGCGTGTGTGTGCGCGCGTGTGTGTTTTGGGGAGAGCGGTAGTGTAGCGGTTAAGCGCGTTGCGCTACGAAGCCAGCGACCCGAGTTCGATTCCTGCTCACTGCCAACGCCAGTGGCGATTATCTGAACCGGCTCTGGGCCTCGCCTAGGTCGACTCAGCCTCAAATGAGTAGCCTGGTGTAGTGTGTAAACATCGCCACTGGGGTGACAAAGGCAGTCGAGCGTGGTGTTGGCCACCCCCTCGTGTGCCGTGCTGGCCTTTCAAATGTGCTCGCTAACAGCACTTGGCTTCAACAGTCTTTTAAGGCTATACGGGGAATCTTTGTTTTTGTACAGCCAAATTATCGTGTTAGCTCTGAGTGAAATGCTCTTTAAAAGTGTACATTATCATGAGTATTTCCGTATGACAGTGTACCCAATTATACTGCTGAGTGGACATAAGAGGCTGAGGGAGAGGGCGTTTAACGACATTGCACCATTGGGTCAACTGCCGCGCCCGGAGATCGAATTGACCTCTGCATTGCATGTTCAGTGTGCTGACCATTAACACCACGGCGGTAGCATCTGCCATGCCGGTTGTTATGAGTGTTTAAATCATCTGTCCGCGGAAGAAAAGGAAAAAAAATAACTTTGAGTGGCAATAAAACGGTGAAGTGATGTACGGGGCGAGGCGGCGTGAACAACGAAGGGCCGTGTTTATGTGTTTGTTTGGCTGACCCCGTGAGCTTTTTAAGCTCCACTATTGATTTCCTGAAGAGGGGGGGGGTGCTGGGGTGGCAATGGGGGGGCATGGGAGGGTCGTGGAGAGGAGGGGTGATGTGAAAGATCCTTTCATGGGCTGCCCTTACAGCAGAATTGCTGTAAGTAAATAAAATATATACCGACATGAATTTGCACTCCACTCTGACCGGCGGTGAAAGTGAGAGTGAATTTATTTGGCGTTTTCGTCGCCACGGCGTTCACTTGCCGTGTTTTATTTGTGACGTACCCAAGCGATGTCTCCCTCGTATCCTGCAGCGCGCTATCCAACGGGCGGTCGCATCTCTTCTCGTGTGCTGACAGCGTTCCGCGATGTGAATTCATTCATTCACTCGCTCGGCTAGCGCCGTTAGTACTTGTTGGGATCTGCGTGATGAAGGTGAATGTGCAGCGCTCTGCTACCTCTTGCTCACACCACTGCTGATGGAGGGATAATAATACTACTGATTATTCCAGGAAAGCCACAGTGAGTCATAGGACTCATTTTCAGGAGGGTCCGATTGCATTGAGGTTTTTTTTTTAAGAAGTGTTCCGCCAATTAATGATTAGTTGTGTTTATTATACTCGTGGGAGGAGAACGGAGCACCTGGAGAAAACCCACGCACGCAAGGGGACAACACTCTATCCCCGTACGGATGGTAACAGATGGCGATTAGTCCACTTGGTGTACTGCCTTCTCCTGGCCAGCCAGGATGTGGCACCTCCACGATGCCCCACGGGAAGGGAGTTTCACACCATTTGTGCGGTCATCCGCCAACCCTCGCTGCCTCCGCAAGAGGATTTGTTTTTGGCCTACTCTTCCACGCTGGCAAGACGTTTTGGAGGTTGTGGGAGTACCCACGCTTTACCCCACCACACGGACCTGCCGATAGACTGCTCCATATGCAATTAGCAACGAACCTCAACAGACTCGATCAACAACACTGCCTTAAAGGGAAAAAAAAAAATATTTAATCGGCAACGTTTCAGGCAATAGCCCTTCTTCATAGCACAAAATCTATGTGCACGTCAATGAAATAAAATGTAACGAATCCAAACGGCTGGTCATTATGACGACCATGTATCGATCCGATGCCTGGATGAAGGCCTCACCGCGCTGAACGTCTGGGTCGTGGGGGGATGCGCTTCGACCATACTTCACCAAGCTGGTCACTGCGGGTCGGTGAAGGCGAGGGGGCATGGATGTAAAAGCAAGTAGAGTAGAATAATGAGATTTGCTGCACCGTGCTCTGTTGACAACGTAGCGGCGAACCCACGATGCCGATGGAATTAAAACATTCATACACATAATGTACCCCCCCCCCCCAATTGTATTCCCATTGTACTATCGACCTCATGTTACCAGATGTAGAATCCGTTCGGAACGCTCACGCAAGGAGAACTGCATCACCCCGTGTCAGAGAACAAACCGTGGAAGCAGATATCAAAGAAATACGTTTGATGTTCCTTCAATTGCTCCACCTATTACTATATATATGTGTGTGTGCACATGTGATGATGTACGCGTGGGTATAGTCGCAGCTAAGCAATTGCGTGTGGATATTTCAGATAAAGCATACTTGCATCTGACAGGCAGAGTGCATACATGTGGAAGATTCATGGAAGCTGCAGATCTCTCTATGCGTCACCCATCGCACGAGTCTCATCGCTCTCAAACAAGCATGCTCGCGTCTCTGACCCCTCTCCCCCTCCACTCACTCTCCGGCACAATGGGAGGTCGCTCCCTCTCTTCTGCTCTTCTCGAAGACATCTCAATGCTCCACGACAACGCGCGGCTCGTGCCTTGGGTGTCCGCGGGTGTGCACGCCGCGACGCTCGACGTTTCGCACCGCATTCGGGGAGCTTCTTCAGTGGTACGCCAGATCTTGAGGAAGCTCCCAGGACGCGGGGCGAAACGTCGGACATCACCCCGAACAACACGCGGTATAACCCGAATGCACGTCCGCAATTGCACATTTTTGGCTCGGTTAAGCTCATGCGAGCGTATTCCCTCCACGTGTCACAGACTCATTCTGTTTCGCCACAGCGTTGCCTCATCGCGTGACTGCTTCCTCTCCCCCTCTTTTCTGTAGTTCCTCCTCCTGCCTTTGTGTCGTCCTCTCTCTCTCTCGCTCTCTTTCTTCTTCGAGAGAGAGTGAATAATGTGCTAATTATAAGTTGAAATTATTAGTGTTACCATGAAGAATTCAATGAGTTTGCGCCGCACTTGCAAGACCCAATTTCCGAGTTATACAAGAGCCACTCGTCACATGCTCAAGTATTTTCCGGGAATCCTTTCTTGCATACTCTCTCTCTTGGCTTCTAATACATCAATTTATTTCCTGTGTCTGCGCACGTGCGTATGTATCTTTGTCCCTGGTTTGTGCACGTACGTATGTTGAACTGTCGTGCATTGTGTATGTTTGTCAGCAACACTTGTCCCAAACGTCTCTGCAACGGGAGATGTTCGTCTTTGTGCGTGTTTTTTAGTCTGTGCGCGTGTCCGTGCGTGTGTGTTTGTAGCAATGTGTTTGTGCTTGTATGGGTGGGGGAGCGGTGGTGCAGCGGTTAGCGCGGCGCGCTAACCGATGCATTATCGCTCACGGCCAACACGGGTGACGATTATCTGAACAGGTCCTGGGCCTCCCCGAGGTCGACTCAGCCTCAAATGAGTACCTGGTGCGGTGTGTATACATCGCCACTGATGGGACAAAGGCGGTCGGGCATATTGCTGGGTGTACCGTTACGGCGTTCGCTATCAACACTTGCCCCGATAATCTGTGAAGGCTATTCGGGGGATCTTTGTCGTTGTGCTTATGTGCGCATCTGTGTGCACTGTGTGTTAGTAGCGGCAGAGCAGTGAGAGTGCAGCGGTTGGCGCACTGCGCTTCGATCCCAGCGACCCGAGTTCACCATCAGTGAGCAAACTTTCTATCTCGACACGTCCTGTAATGAGTGCCTGGTCCGGTGTGTAAACACAAGCACTGGGGAGACAAAGGCGCAGAGCGTGGTGCTGACCACACCGTGCCCTCGTCCGCGGGTTCCGGTCTTCATAGGTGCTAACATGCACTTGCCCCAACAGCCTGCTAAGGCTACACGGGGGGGGGGGGTCTTTGTCTTTGTTTGTTAAAAGGGCAATTGGTGAAAGCTCGTCATTTTACAGCCTGCGGTGGAAAATAGACATTCGTATGCCGGCGTCAGTCCAATCAACGGACAATCACTGTCGACTTCCACAAAGTGGTACCAAATGTATCGACCCCCATCGTTGGGAGTGCAGATGTGAGCAACTCTGATGTCGGCGTGGTCAACGCTGGCATCGCCACCACCACCATCGTCGTCATCATCGAGTATTCATTACGTCACTCGCGCGTTTGCATCCCGACACCACGACGCGCTCTGACGCGGTGTGTATAAATGACCACGCGGTCTCAAAGCTCAGGGATTCACCGCTCTCCTGCCCACAACTCTCACTCGCCTCTCGCTCTCGCCCTCTTCTCTCGCTCTCTCTCTCCACTCCCATGCGCTCCGAACGCGGCGGACCATCACGGCTCCCACCATGCTCCTACCGCTACTGTGAGTTACCACCTGCTGCACTCACGCTTCATACTGTTACACCCAAAGAAATCATTACTGTCATCATCATCATAGGCATCATCATCATCATCAGGATATAAATGTCAATGCATAAGTATATATGTGGTTCACACGATGATTATGCTGCTGCAACAGTGCATCTTCATAATCATCATCAGAATAGTTCTGCCAATGTTCATGTGTAACGGAACATGCGGTTCACATCGTCATCATGATCATCATCATCATCATCCGCACCAGTAGCATAGTCATTCACTGGCTCAGGTGGAAGTGTATGTGATACGGATATCGTTGATGATTATCATCAACCGATAACCGGTTATCATCATCGCCGATACAATGTCCATGTGCAACAGTGTATGTGGTCACTACTGGAACGAGTGGTGTCAAGATGGGCCTCTGTGAAGGAGGTTCGTGAAGGGCGCTACTGGGGAGTTGGAGGCCATTTGCCCTCCAGCAAAAACGAATAGGAGCGATGCTCACAAAAACAAGCAGAGCGCCGGGTGGATAAAACGCAGACAATTGTCACAGTGGGGAACTCAGTTGTGGTGCACCTGCGAGTCATCCCAATCAGTCAACCCATGGAATCTGGGTCTCTCCCGTGACCGACCTCCTGCCAGCGAGCCTTCGACACTTCACGTAACCCAAAAGTGCACCTAGCCTGGCACAAGCGCCGTGGCGACGTCACAGCCACTTAGTAGTGAACGGCGGCTGTTGTTGTGGTCAAGCTTACACCGAAATTGTTCACGAGCAACGGTGAAAGTCCTTGCAAGCAGCGCTGTCGTAATTTCCACGCAGGATTTGATGTCCAACGGTGCGTGCATACGGTTCAGCCGACAATGATGACCACCATCGTGCAATTGCTCATGCGCGACAGTGCACGTGGTTGCGACGATGATTATGATGAAATGTGATGCTCATCATAACCATGATCGTCGTCGTGTTCACCACCAGCACCACTTTCTTCATACCAATGTGCTGCCCGTGTTGAGCAGTCGTGGCCACCACGTGGCCTGCGTGATGCGTCCTCTCTCACCGGCAGCGCGGCCGTCGCGTCTCCTCGAGCACGCTGCGTCCCCTCCCCCATTGGCGGCCGCCCTCAGTCGCAGTGGCATTGGCCTCTTTTACCGATAATGCGATGTTGGTTATTTGTATACAAGATATTACATATATATGTGAAATGATTCTCGCCACCTGAAGAAGGCCGCTTGTGTTGCGATCGAAACGTCGTGGGTTTTTTTTTTGCTTAAAATTTGGATTTTTGTTTTTTATCTACGTGACTTTACCGAACGAACCAATAATATTTGAAATTATATTAATATGAAATATATACAATTTCCACCACTTAAAAAATAGCATATTTGCAATAAATTAAATAGTAATACATTTTCACAACCGTTTAATTATTATGTTTATTCTGACTCGTGTGTGTGGTCTTCAAATGGTATTATGGCTGCAGTGTTTTGTTTTCACACGCATGAGTCTGTTTGCTTTTTTTTACTGCAGATGCCGTTTCGCCAAAACTCGAGCTGCTGCTGCTGCTACATCTGAGTGGCTCCTAGCCGCCTCGACTCCTCCATCTCTCTGATCTCCCCCCATCTCCCCCCTCGCCTCTTGCCATCTCCCACATTATCTCTCTCATATCTCCCCCATGCATCTATCCTATTTCCCCATCGCCTGCCGAAACCTTCTCGTCTCCTAACTTCCCTGTCTCCCCAATCTCTGTCATTCCACACTTCTCCTCTGCCTCCACATCTCTCCGACCTCTCCGAATCTCAATACCTTCCCTCATCTTCCCCATCTCTTTCATCTTCCCATCTTCCTCATGAATCCCATCTTCCTCATTAATCTCATCTTCATCATTAATCCCATGTTCCTCATCGATCTCATCTTCATCATTAATCCCATCTTCCTCATTAATCCCATCTTAATCATTAATCCCATCTTTGTCATCGATCCCATCTTCATCATCGATCCCATCTTCATCATTGATCCCATCTTCATCAATTATCCCATCTTCATCATTAATCCCATCTTACTCATCGATCCCATCTTCCTCATCGATCCCATCTTCATCATCAATCCCATCTTCATCATTGATCCCATCTTCATTAATTCCATCTTCCCCCCGATCACTCCCCACATTCACATTCTCGTACTTTCTATCTTCAACATTTGCCGATTCCCCCTATCTCCCTATCTAGCTCGTCATCTCCTCGTCCACTCATCTTACCCCCCATCTCCTCCTCTCACCCACCCCCCCTATCTCTCTCCGTGTTTCTGCACAGGAAAAACGGCGCCCCGTTTAGGGGGCTGAAGCTCCTGGCTGCCTTGGGGGGCCTCTGTCTCCTGCAGGCGACACTCGGAGCCGCCGCGGAGAGCAGGCCACCACACCCGAGCCCTCTGTATATCCGAGGTGAGACCCCTTCTCGGGTTGGGTCAGCGACCACCTCGTCAGCTACTGTAACGAGGGGGCGGTGTGTTATCATGTTAATAACACATCTCCCCGTTTACTCAGATAACATCGCGAAGTCTCGTGACACGTTCATCAGGAGTGGGCTGAATTAAAACACTTCATAATATTCCCCTGTCTTTCACTGAGTCTCTTTCTTTGCAGTATTTCCATCCTGTCTCCTTGTCTGTGTGTGTGTCTCTCTCCGTGCGTCTCTCTGCGTCCCCCAATGTCGCTCTCCGCACGCCTGTGTGTGTGTGGGGAGCGATAGTGTAGCGGTTAGCGCGCTGCGCTATGAACCTGGCGACACGGGTTCGATTCCCGCGCACTGCCAACATCAGTGACAATTATCTGAACCGGTCCCGGGTCTCCCCTAGGTCGACTCAGCCTCAAATTAGTATCTGGTGCAGTGTGTAAACATTGCCACTAGGGAGACAAAGGCGGTCGGGCGTGGTGCTGGCCACCCAACCCCCTCGTGTACCGTTCCGGCCTTCATAGGTGCTCGCTAACAGCACTTGCCCCTACAGTCTGTTAAGGCTATACGGGGGATCTTTGTCTTTGTCTCTCTCTCTCTGCGCACCTCTGTGTGCCCACGTCTCTGTGTGTAAGCGACTCCCCCGCCACTCGCCTCGACCCTTCACGCGCCTGACAAACCCTGGCCTCCATCGCCCTCTCGCTGCATTTGCCCCCCCTCCACTCGCTACAGGTATCTGTGATTTCGTCTCCTCTGAGTACGACATAAACAGCTCAACAAATGTCGCATCCCGCCCTTGTCAGTCCACTGCTGAATGAACTTCACGCCGCGTGCCTCGTTTTGGGGCCGCGTTGCGTTCACCACAATTGGCCCCCGCTCGCGATCGGTGTTTCAGAACCGGTTCAGGTCTCACTCGCCACTGGCGTTGGTCGCCGCAGGGAATCGAACTCACGTCGCAGCCGGGTTCGTGGCACAGCGCGCTAACCGCTGCGCCACGGCTCCCCCCTCCACTCCACATCCTCCCTCTAGTAACTTGACTTTGTTCAATGTTAGCATCTTCGCGTTGAAAGTTGTTGGACTCGCGCGCAAGTGCTCCCGAAGGTTCCAACTTCTCGTCCCGGTTGTGTGGCAAACAAAACCGAGGTGCCAACGAAGTGTGTCTATGTGTGTGTCTGTGTGTGTGCGTGTGTCTGTGTGTGTGCGCGCGCGGTGGTGTAGCGGTTAGCGCTACGAACCTGGCGACCCGGGTAAGATTCCCGCTCACGGCTAAACCAGTGACGATTATTTGAACCGGTCTTGGGCCTCGCCTAGGTCGACTCGGCCTCAAATGAGTACCTGGTGTGGTGTGTAAACATGTTGGCCACTCATCCCCCTCGTGTGCCGTGCCGGCCTTTATAGGTGTTCGCTAACAGCACTTGCCCCTACAGTCTGTTAAGGCTATACGGGGGATCTTTGTCTTTGTTTTTTTTTGTATCCATCACGATGTTTCTCGACCGTTTCGATGACTTTGCTTTGAATGCCTCGTGGTGGTGTACCCCCCCCCCCCCCCCCCTTGGGCTCGAACCCGACTCGGTAAAAAAATTAAGTCTTCGCGTTTCCATGGCGTCACGACACGGCGAATTGAAGATTCGCGACGCGCGGAGAAACGCCGCATTGACCGGTGTGCAACACGGGCAGCTCACGGCGCTGCAGCGCGACTTCGATTAAAGAGGGGGCGGCAGGAGGGGGGGGGGGGGTGCTGCAACATCAATGATGTGCGGGGGGGGAGAGGGGCACGACGCAGTCAATATTATACAAACGTTGACTTAAAAAAATATTTTTTTAACGGGAGGCCCGAGGCTCTTCATCGGTGGGACCTCAGCCGGGACTCCTCGCCTCTCCCCCGGGGCTACGGGAGTTGGGAGATCATTCTCGTCCGTGGGACTCACTGATTTACTGCTGCGCGTGATCCACACCACGCGCGCGCGATAATGATACCACGGCCCTTTTGGCAAACCCACCGCTGGATTAATGTATTTAATACAGCCGTGTATCGGATGGGGTATGTGATGCCGCTGAAAGTTATTTGTACGGTTTTTTTTAAATAATGAAGTCGCCATCATATTTTCTCAACCACCGCACCCATACCACCTCCCGCTCCCCCGCCCCCCACCAAGGACGAGAAGTGAACCCGCTGTGGTACGTGGGGCGTGGAGTGCGCCCAATCGGCCGCTTTGGGAAGAGGCAGATGCCGTGGGTCTCGGACGCCCCCGTTCGGATCCGGCAGCAGGAGACCGCGTGGCCCGACGCGTCCCCGGCGAGAAGGGGCCTCTGGCTGCTCGAGGGGGCCACTGGGGCTCTCATGGTCCGTCGGGGAACCCCTTCGCCGGGGCTGGCTGCGTCACGGTTCGGATCCCGTCTGCGGATGAAGCGTCTCGGTTGAGAAATTTCACTTTTGCAGCTCGCGGTTGATTAGTTTGTTTATGGGTGTGTTTGTTAGTTTGCTCGTTTTGGTTATTTTGTTATCCTTTCGCGGTGTTTTATTTTTTATTTTTGCCGAGCTCGCACGGGGCATTGTTATTCTACTGCCCGCTTTGTCGAATAACCGAGGTCAAAGTCGCCTCGTTTCCCTTTCTCGTCTGAAATGTGGGTGGTGTGGGGGTGGGGAATGTTTCCGATGCCCCCTCCCCCGCCGTCCTCTTCTTCGTCGCCAGCAGTTACTGGGACAAACGCCAAACCGATCCGCCTCGGGCGTTTCAGAAAAGATGTTTCATCCAGACTCATGTCTGTTCTTTAACCCTCTCTCTGGCATCATGGTCGATGCGCTGGGCCGTTATAATACAGGGTGCTTCAAAAAATGTTAAAACAATTACATGGGGCAATCGTTTGTAATGGAAAAACAACAGGTACTACACCGTAACATGATAACAAATGTATGTTAATATCTTCAGAAAGCCAAAGAACCTCCACTTGTTCCCCGTAATTGTCAACGCACGCCTGGAATCTTCACCAGGTGGTCTCAAGAGCCCGGAGGCACACTTCCTGTGGTGTTGTTGCAAATTCTCAGAAGTGTTAAAATTTTGTTTTGAACTACCTTGTAATATACGACCGCTACTGTCTGAAGAAAATCTCAATATATTTAGCTCGGCTGGCACGGCGCCCCACGGTGGAGCGATGTTGACTACCTCGCCTGGTATACAGGAGCACCGTAGGTTCTGACGCCCGCTGTACATTTGGGGTCTCTTCTCCCCGTGGCCGTGTGGATTTTTTTCTCCGGTTTCTCCCCTTCACGTTTAGAATCAACAGCACGCGTTTCGAGTATTCGGATGCTTTAAATGTCCCGGTAATAAGCCGCCACTGCGTTGAGCTGTCGTTTGTAGCCAGGCCACTTCTGAATAAGAGCTATCCAGCTCAGTGGGCCTTACCTGGTAAAAAAAAAAGTTAATGAATAGTTTATATTCGTCATATTCCTGTGACGTCGAAAAATCACATTCAACAAAAAACACGTGTTTTGCGTTTAACAATTTACGCATGAGAGGGTTAAAACAACACACGCGTTAATCATTTCTGAATAAGCACCTTTGATATGTTATGTATCTTCCCACAGTGCAACAACGGATGTTAGTCTGCCTTTTCATGTTTATCGATGTAAAAACAGTGTAATTTCCAGCCGTTTGTCAATCTACTGCTGGATGAAAGCAGGCCTCCACCATACCCGTGTCAGTCACGGGGGTTGTTTTTCCATACTCCACCACGCGGGTCAGTGAAGGGGATGTGTTTCGATGATCACGAGCTGCTGATGTGTTAGCCGTGGTCTGGATATCCACCTTACCGATGCGATAAGGTGGGTATAAATAACGAATTAAGCAGTGGCACGTCCCACACACCTGAAGATTGGTAAAGTCGTTGTGGCTCGCGTGAAAGGCAACGTTCCAGAAGCTCTGCTCCATGCGATGTGACCTCATCGCCTAATCGCCCGTGAAGTTGTGCCGCCGTGTAACGTGAATTAAGCATGATTTGAAAATAAGAAAATAAACTTTCAAAATCAAAATCATCCATCGCGATATTATTCCAGTGGGAGTTGGGGGGGGGGGCAGTGAGGGGAGGGTGAGGGAGGGTGGCATCCATGAAGCGTGTTAATTGAGGGGGTTGGGGGAGAGAAAGCATCTCCATCTGTTGATGTTGGTGGTTGTTATGGTGGTTGTTATGGTGGTTGTTATGGTGGTTGAGGTGGTGGTGGTAGTAGTTGTGGTGCCATGTGTGCTAGTGGCGATGTCGTGATTTCGCGCACTTCGCTACGGACTCAGCCATCCGAGTTCGATTCCCACTCACGGCACCAACATTAGTGACGAATATCTGAACCGGTCCCGAGCCATCCTCTCGGCTGACTCTCAACTTTAAATGAGTACCTGGTGTGGTGTGTCAACATCACCACTGGGGAGACAAAGGCAGCAGAGTGTGTTGCTAGCCAGACCACCCATTCGTGTGCTGTGTCGGCCTTCATATGTGCTCGATAACAGCACTTGTCCCAACAGTCTGTTCAGGCTATATTGAAGATCTGTGTCTTTACAAAGAATACATTCCTTTATCAATGAAATCCTCATTGAGTTTAAGGATGCTTTCCCAAGAAGGTCCTGCATTGATATATTTGGCATGAGAGAGGACACCAGCTAACGTGGAGAATTATCATGAATGTGAATGCTTAACAGGCAAAACTCCGCATAGACGGATTCAATAATCCCGTACCATTTTACAATCTCTTGGCCACTTTGCAAGAAAAAAAATCTGCTTAGCTTCTGAGATATGATGAGATCAAATTGTATTCAAGGTCATTTGGCCGTAGGCCTTTTGGGAGAAGTGGCGTTGCGCGACACCATCCACTTGGCCCTCCCGCCCATAGAGTCGGAGGGCACCTTTGCTCTCCAGTTCTGCCATTCTCTCCTGGGTATCGACAACAGATCCACTTCTCATTGCAAAAAAACATCAACGGGTAAAACAATTCTTCAAATCCACAGAGCTATACGTTTGTAAGCAAAGCGTCTTCTTCCAGCTACAGTTCTATGTGGGGGGAGGGCGGAGGGGGAACTGCACTTTTGGAGCTAAAACCCTCTTGAAAGAACCACTCATTCTCACCATGGGAATCTCAAACCCACGCTGAGAAAGACCATGAGGTCCAGTCTCCGCACATCAAGGGCACCAGACGGAATGCTCTTCTGTGGGTTCATAAAAAATACAATTCTCCCACCAGCAGAAGTTGACTTCAACAATCGCCTCCTGTGGTGCTGCAGGGGAAAAAAAACATCCAAGCAGACGGGGCTCAAAAACCACAATCCCCTTTGTTAAGAGCAAGTTGTGTCAAAATGCTCACCGATAGTTGCGTCAGGGGAAATTGCGAATTCGTGTTTGAAAGTCCGAGTGAAGTAGATGTGTTCGTATCGATTTAGCTTCGTCACAGATGCAACTTTTTGAATGAAAAAAATACATTGATTTGAAGCTTTCGTGACTGCAGGAATCCATACTCTTTGGTTCTTTTGGTAAAGTCACGTAGAAAAATTAAAATCACGACGTTTCGGGCGCAACACAGGCGGCCACCTGATGACGGACGCTTGTGTTGCGCCCGAAACGTCGTGGTTTATTTTATTGCATATCTACGTGACTTTACCGAAAGAGCCAAAGAGTATGAAAGAAATGCATGTTTAACATTATAGTACTGTATAACCACGACATGAGAACAGGGGGGGGGGGGTTGTTTGCGCAAACTACATCATCGGTGGGACAATGATTGGTTGAGACGACACTCGCCACTCATGTTAACCGAATTAAACTCGGATTTCGTCGCTCTATAGAGGCAGCATGCGAACCGCAGAACCACCGCTCCCCCTCGTTTTGAAAGTAAAAAATATATATAATAAAATGTGACGGCCGGTCCCGTATACATGTTCCAGTGACCTTAATAATCACTGACATCGCTCAAAAACGTCGTGGGATATTATGCACGTGCGACAAGAACGGATGAGAAATCTCATTAAATATCACAAGTCCCGCAAGATTTATTCATCATGTTTTGCATACCGTATATTTATACACGTTTAAAATGAAACTCGATGTCATTGTTACGGGCAGTAGAGCCTGCCACTTTTTTAAAATATACACCTGCTTTAAAAATAAATCAAACAAAAGCCCTTCACCCCCCCCCCCCCCCCCCACAATGTTTTTTTTTTCGACAAAGCTCCAGGACTTGCCAGAGTATTGAACTCTGAAATAATCTTCATGCGTGCGCTCGCTCGCTCATAATCTGAATGTGAACGAGAGGCCCACGGGGGGGGGGGGGGGAAAGGGCAATTGATCTCATCGTAATTAACTTAACGATTTGGACCAATTGAAACCCATTTACGGCTTCGGTTTGCACATCAGAGGCGGGTCAGGTGGGCGACTACGCATGCCCATTTATTGTCACCCCCCCCGCTCTCCATCCCGAGCGAGCGAGCCGAGCTGAGAGGGCTCTCGGCAGAGAGCCACGTGCTGCCATTAAAATCTCCACCCGCGAATGAGTCGTCGAACGCAATCGAAGGTCACAACGCAGGGAGGAGACATCGGAATCGTTTGGGGGGGGGGGGGGGGTCACCGGGGGGGGGGGGTCACCGGGGGGCACTCACTCGCCCGATCGGTTCCACCGCCCGTCTGTGATGCACGTCGCGCGCTCGTGCTCACGGGGCAAGAACAAAAATCGATTCGCTTTCAATTATACCATTTTGTTTTTTACATATCACGTTACCAATCACAACCGAACATATTCTGCAATGCCCATATATGGGGATTGAGTGCTAAGCAAGGGCTGCATCGGGGACAAATGGTCCCTACAAAAATATGCATCGCTCCGTGTTGTGCGTACGTATGCATAACTTCTTTCGCACCGTACATAGCCAGCCGTGCAAATTGGAGGTGCGGAGGAAGGACAAGAAACTAAACACAAAAAGCATTGTTCATTGGTCGGTCCAGCACACGTGACAGCAGCCTCTGTGAGACTGCTCAATAAACATTACACGTGCCACTGCAGATACGCACACAGAACATCAACAAGCACCGACTTACACGCCCCAGTGTCCATCACACCCAGGAGCAAATAAACACACGCTGGCCGACACACGGGAATTGCAGACTTTTCAAAAGTGTCCTCTAAAACAATGCAACCGCATTCCCAATCCCCTCTACAGAAACTCTGGGCATATTCACTCGATGGGGAGAAGGAGACGGTCATAGGCGGAGGGGAGGGGGGGGACGGTCTTGATTCTGGACGAGAACAGGGTCAGGGCGTCAACAGCACAGAACATCGGAGGGGAAGGACGTTCCAGGATCAGGGGGGCAGCACGAGGAACCGGGCGACCTCCCACTCAGTAAAGGTTTGACTCTCGACAGGAAGCCTTGCTTGGCTCCTGCAGTGGAGAGTGTCGGGAGCGGAGGAGAGAAGCGACGGGCTACGAGGTGGCCGCGGTGGTGAACCCGTGGAGGATCTTCAAGGCAGGAGGGCGCGACCTCCCAAGTTCAGGCGAGATTGTAGTGGGAGCCAGTGGTCCATGGGTGATGCGGGTCTGGTGTACGGGTGCGGGAGGGGTATTTTTTATTGGAACCATACATTGCAACCATCGGCACCATACTGGCAGACGAATGCCCCCCCGTCACTCTTTCAAACGAGGCTAATGCTGCTGGTCTCTTGACTTCTGGCTTTATTTTGGTGATTTCGAAAAATGTATTGGTTTAGCCATGTTTGTTTGTTGTAGTACAGAGTTAGACTGATGGCCTTAATCTAAGTTGTCTTGTAGTTGTTGTTGTTGCTGTTTGACTTGCATCCCACTGGGATTTTTGCACACAGCGTTGGTGTACGGTGTTTTTTCTGCAATATTTTGCTGTCTTTTCTTGGATTTTCTGTTTGCACTTAGTCACATATTCACTTTAAGATGTTTTTTGTTCATGTTTTTTTGTTTGTTGCGGTTGAACCCGATTCAAGAGCCGAATGGCTCATAGGGCTATACCTAATAAATTAACTTGAACTTGAACTTCTCACGTGCTTAAGGGAAAAAAACACTCGAGACCCTTGAGTCTGGCAGTGGCATTTTTTTGTCTTCAGGCTTGGAGAGGAGGGATTTGGGGAGGCCGTGGAGGAAAGCGTTGCACTCGTTTATTCGGGATGTGACGAAGCCATGGCCGAGGGTCCCAGTGGCAGCCGGGCCGAGAAGCTGGCCACTCACGAGAAAGTAAACCGGCTGAAGGGTCCCAGGCTAGGAGCTCCCAACGCTGGAAATCCGAGGGGGCACCTCGGGACCGGGGCTGGCAGCACGGTAAGGCTGAGAGCGCCGATTGTTCGGGAGAGGAGAGGAGATGTAAGGGCACGCGACGTGAGCACGGGGCTCTTACCGGAGGCGGGGAGGGGCTCAGCAAGCAGAGACGTGCGACGGTACGGAGCGGAGTGGACCGTATCGGGATGGAAACTGATGCGCAGTAAGGTACACCTCGAACATAAGGCGTGGGTTCTTTGTTATCTGGATGCGGTTCGAGGAGCGAACTCAAATCGATTTCCCAATTTGAAATCCATCGAGTGGCTACAGGAGACGTTGAGTGTGCAGGCATAGTGAGTGTACGCCACTCGGAGCTACTCGAAACGCTCGTAATGGACGGGGGGAAGTTTATGATGCGTTCGATCGTGTGGTCACCGGTTGTGGAGTGGGTGTCCTCATCCTTAGTGGTCGCGCTCTCGAGCGGGATGACAGTGTGGAGAGGAGCAGACCTCAGACGGCCGATTCGTCGCGTGTGCAACTGCTGTGAGATCTTGGCACGAGGAAGGAAACGATGGCGAGGTGCAGTAGCATAGAGAGCGCACAGCAACTCGCGACGACCTTCGTAACTCGGCCTTGCGTGCCTCCCCAGCCATCCCAAGGAGCTGTCTGTCAAGTGTGGTGCCACGCAAGTTGGCCACTGCCCTGCACGTGCATATGCGTGTACATTGAACGTCTTTCACATCGTACGAAGCCAACCATGCCAATCGGAGGTGCGGACGTGCGGGATCATTGAAGACCGCCAAGCACCGGCAAAGCAAAACAAATAAAAACCACCCTTCTCTGCTTCACTTAATAGACTTACAACCGGCCACAGCACAAGACATGGAAGGGATGGGGGTGGGAGGGACATGATACCGACACGACTCGTACGATAACACACCACTCGGTCCGCGTCTACGTCTCTCCAGGTCGCTGCGGGCGACGTCCAACATTTCACTCCGCATCCCGGGAGCTTCGACGTCGGACCTCACGCCAAACAACGCGGCCGGAGAGAGCCGTGGCAGCACGGCCGCAAAGGGAAGAAACACACACAAAAAAACGCCGCCGTCGGTAAAGGGCACGCAAGAAAGACAGAGCCTCGTTTGGGTGGGCCTGCAGCACGCTTCGCGAGTGGCCTGCAAGGTTTGTCGAGTGGCCTCCCCGTGCAGGTTTGTGGGTTGGTGCCCGGGGGACAAAGGGCCGACAAGAGTGACGCACGCACGGAGGGGTCCGGTGGGAGAGAGCCTGGTGCTCCAGCTTCATTAAGGCACTCGAGAGCAGCAGCAGCAGCAGCGGCGGCGGCGGCGGCGGCGGATAACTCGCGGAGTTCCAAGCAGCCCCGACACGGCGACCATCCTAGGAAAGCAAATAAAATGCACGGACACAGCACAGGGACTTCCACGCACACATTAACAAAACACATTCACAAGCACCCCCCCCGCCGCCCCCCAGTCACAAATCACTCCCTCCCTCCCCCCCCCTCTCGTGAGTGCCATCGTGACGAGGTGAAGTTTCGTTGAACGCGAGCAAAAAGGGAAGTTTTTGTTTCAGATGTTTTCTTTGTGATGGAGTGTACGGTTGCTTCGCTGAAATACATTTCACTCGGTGTCTGGCAAAATGAGCACAAGCTCTCATCGAGGTCACGCGCTGATTCTGCACTGTTGTTGTCGTTACATAATTTTTATATTTCATGCATAATCGGATGTTTTGTTCTGCTGAAAAATGTAATGTAGGTACGTACGCATGTTGAACTTCTTTCGCACCATACGTAGCCAACCGTGTTAATCGGAGGTGCGGGAAATGATCTGACGACATCTGTGTCAGTAAGAACCCTCTCTACCTCACAACCTCCGATAAGCACGGTTGAAAACGTACGATGCGAAAAAGGTTCAACATACATACAACACAGCCAAACAAGTGAATTGCCACGTGCTCTATTGTATGCATGTTGAACGTCTTCAACATTTTATGGAGCCATCCGCGCCAGTCGGGGATGCGTGGGAGGGACGGCAGGCTATACGCGAAAAGCAGTCTTAAATAAACGAGTTTTAAATTCATATTGACACGTGCACAGTTCCAGTGGGCAATCTAATGTCAGAAGGAAAAGTGTTCCAGACAGTTGCAGAGGCACAGCTAAAAGCAATGCAATGCCATGACCATCTCCGTTCGGTGGGCAGCAAATCGCGTTTAACGTGCCAAACAATCGTCGCTTCAGCCCACCGGTAAGTGAGAGAACAGGAAGTGGATTCGTTAATCTTGACTTTCTGGATCTTGTCTGAATAATATTTGACGGGAGTTTCAAATGAAACGTCGTAACTCATTTCTGCAAAATGTTGGTTGTGTGGATTGAATGGCTTACCAGACTCGGCATGTGGGTATAACGCTGTGTCAGTTGCTTAGGGTAGGGCTAGTGAACCACACACACATTGTTGTTCGTCAACAATTTAATGATGACGACGATGGCGCCACGGTGGCGAGACGTTAATTACCTTCGCCTGGTATGCAGGAGGTCGTGGTTTCGATCCTGACCCTGACGACTGCTGTATATTTGGAGTTTGCACGTCTCTCTCCCCGTGGTCGCGTTTGATTTTTCTCCGGGTCTTCCGGTTTTTCTCTCCACATTTAGAATAAAAATGCATTTAAGAATATTTGGCTGCTTTGACGTTTCCACACGATAAGCCACGTCGTCGAGCTATGTACATTAAAAAAATAGTTTATAGTTTCTGTTCACAAGTTCATGATGAAGATGACGTTGATGTCACTCACCACGTCGCCCCTGGGCTCAAGCGAACTCCGAGGGCTCCTCGGACAGCTCCCTCATCCAGTCCGCTGGGGAGATCGCAGCGGCAGCGCCACCGAACCGAGACAGCGCAAAGTGGCAAGGAAATGGATCATCGCGACGGCCTCGAGCCTCATTCACCCCACGGGTTTCGGTTTGGCGACGGCGCTTGAAATCGATCCCGAGGCACGACGATGCACGATTTGAGTGTAGAAGGCGCTCCCAACGCGATCGCATTCTCGGGACGCCGTAACAAGTGGGTCGGAGCGTGCACGTCGAGGGGACGTCGATGAAGGATTCGTTATTTGATTTGGCTGAGCGGATTTTGAACCGAAATTTCACAAAAGCCAACGGACAAACCAATCTGACATCAGCCCAGTCGCACTCTAACAACAACAACAACAACAACCGCTGTTCACCACTAAGTGGTGGTAACGTCACCACGGCGCTTGTGCCATGCCAGGTGCACTTTAACGTCACATGACGTGCCGAAGGCTCGCTATCAGGAGGTCACGGGACAGACCCAGGTGCCATGGGTTGAGTGACTGAGATGGCTGACAGATGCACCAACTGTGCTCTCCACTGTGCCAACTCTCTGCGTTTTATGCGCCCGGCACTCCGCTCATTATTGCGAGCGTCACTCCTCTGCCCTCCATTGTTGCGACTGCCACCAACTCTCCCCAGCAGTGTCCTTCATGAACCTCTTCCATGAATCTCCTCCACAGAACCTCCTGGTATCTATCCGGGGCAAAGACGGTAACACCTGACCATCGTTCCACATTGCTCCTCTAAATCGCTAGACCGATCGATCAGTCTCCAAATAAATGACAATCTAGCCGCCCCCTCCCACCCTCCCCCCACAGGGCACACAATCACAGCACGCACCTTGCAAGTAGCTGTCACCCCCCTGGGTGGGAAGTTGCAAGTCCCCACAGGGCACACAATCACAGCACGCACCTTGCAAGTAGCTGTCACCCCCCGGGTGGGTAGTTGCAAGTCCCCACAGGGCACACAATCACAGCACGCACCTTGCAAGTAGCTGTCACCCCCCTGGGTGGGAAGTTGCAAGTCCCCACAGGGCACACAATCACAGCACGCACCTTGCAAGTAGCTGTCACCCCCCGGGTGGGTAGTTGCAAGTCCCCACAGGGCACACAATCACAACACGCACCTTGCAAGTAGCTGTCACCCCCCGGTGGCGCTGGCAGCTTCCGGCTTCGTGGCTTCGGCGACTCCGTGAGTGTGGCCTGTGGCACGTGGTGTCGTGGGCACCGCAATAGGTGGCAACGTCCATGATGACAACGTCCATGATAGAGGGGGGCGGGGGTTTGGGTTAGATCGCGCAAATATATAAATGTGTCGTTTAAACCCGCCACCACCCGACGCAGCCAACTCGTAAGGGTTGTCACGTAAACAGAACGTGGCCAATTCGTCACTAGTACAGCACTAGTGTGTAGTGTAGTGTATAGTGTAGTATACTAGTACAGCACTAGTGTATAGTGTAGTGTATAGTGTAGTGTATGGTAGTGTATAGTGTAGTATACTAGTACAGCACTAGTGTGTAGTGTAGTGTATAGTGTAGTATACTAGTACAGCACTAGTGTATAGTGTAGTATACTAGTACAGCACTAGTGTATAGTGTAGTGTATAGTGTAGTATACTAGTACAGCACTAGTGTATAGTGTATAGTAGTGTAGTGTATAGTGTAGTATATAGTAGTGTAGTGTATTGTGTAGTGTACTAGTACAGCACTAACCGGTGTGTTGGAGAGCCAAGCCACAACATTTACAATCTGAGTACGACGTTTCGCCAGTAATTACAACTAGCTTCATCAGGCGAAAGCCTACGTGTTAAACTTAATGACAACAGTACGAAAATAGCACTGCCGACACGTGCGTAGTGAAGTAGGCGTCACCGCCTCATGGCGCTTATGCCACCGCACATCACCGCCACACTCCCGCTCTTTGAGAAATCTCGTGATTGTTGAAAGGTTTGCATGATGATGATTCGTGGCCTATGATGGTGACTGACAGATGATTGATGGATTGTGATTAATGTGATGATGGCTGTCTTGTGGATGATGACTAAGATTATGATTTATGGATGGAAATTGATAGGGTGGTTCTGATCATGTATGGATGATGATGATGAATAAGGCACAGGCAAGGGTGCAATGATCATTAGTATGATAATGCCAATGATGGTGATGATGACGGTGATGACAGTGACGATGGTGATGATGACGGTGATGACGGTGACGATGACGGTGGTGATGATGATGGTGACGATGATGGTGACGATGATGATGATGGTGGCGATGATGGCGGGTCACGATAATAACGGTGATGATGGTGACGATGATAACGGTGATGATGACGGTGGCGATGATGGCGGTGATGATGACGGCGGCGATGATGGCAGGTGACGATGATAACGGTGATGATGGTGACGATGATAACGGTGATGATAGTGACGATAATAACGGTGATGATAGTGACAATGATAACAGTGATGATGATGGTGACGGTGGTGATGATGGCGGTGACGATGATAACAGTGATGATGGCGGTGACGATGATAACGGTGATGACGGTGGTGACGATGATGACGGTGATGATGACGGTGGCGATGATGGCGGGTGGCGATGATGGCGGGTGACGATCATAACGGTGATGATGGTGACGATGATAACGGTGATGATGGTGACGATGATAACGGTGATGATGATGGTGACGATGATGACGATGATGATTACGGTGGTGATGATGGCAGTGACGATGATAACAGTGATGATGACGGTGACGATGATGACGATGGGGTTCGACGTCAGTCTGACCCTGCTGCCTGACCTGCGGCTCGCGTCTCGCTACGGGGCCGGCTGGCAGGCGGACGCCCAGGCAGGAGACGGACTGCTCGATGTCAGAGATCTGCTCCTCGGAGGGGACAAGCGAACAGGACAGGCGGAGCAGTGACAGACGCAGCCGCCGTCAGGGTCGGCGAACGTCCATCCGCGATGACGACGCACGGACAGCAACCACGAGCGCGCTACGCGTGAACGCGGCGGCGGTGTTTTGCTAACGAGCAATGTACGTCCCATCGAATCGACCCGAATAACAAAAAGCAAAAAAACATCCGTTTGAATATATGAACATGGGGGAGCGAGTTGTTGTAGCGGTTAGCACGCTGCGCTATGACAACCCGGCGACCCGAGCTCGATTTCCGCTCACAGCCAACACCAGTGACGATTATCTGAACCGGTCCTGGGCCTCCCCTAGGTCGACTCAGCCTCAAATGAGCAGCCAGTGACACGGGTGCGTGATGCTGAGCGGAGGTGAGAGGAGAGCGGAGGAGTGGGAGGAGGGGTAGGCGGAAGGAGAGAAGGATGTGGGGGGGGCACAGAGGAAACCTTCCTGGAAACAAGCCCGACTTCATCATCTGCCAAGAAATTCTTACTCATAATAGTAACTAAGAAGTGGTGGCTAATTCATCCTGTTATTCGCATGTATCCACAGATAAAGAGTCAGCTGGAATTGGTCTCTCAGGAGGGCGAAAAAATGCATCCGCCGAACAACCGCACCACTCAACCCGACACCACATTCATGAGCCGCCACGCACCGCTCCACCCTGCAATGCGCCTGGCACAGCACCCACACTGCACCTGGCTGCCACTGCCTACCACCCCGCAGCGCAGCGCACCCATCAGTGGCAGAGTGCACGTGGCATGGGCTCTGGCGCAAAGTATTCAATGGGCCTGCCGTGTTCAATAGCCCCCCTCCCCTAACCCCCACTTTGTAGCCCGATGCCTAGCCCCTTCTGGCCCACGGACCCCTGTGCAGTTGCACCACCTGCACACTCGATGGCTGTGCCACAGGCACCCACAGGCACACACCGCACCCAAGAGCCTGCGCCATATTTCCGCACCACCACACAACGCACCCGCCAACTTCACCCGCTGCAACGCACCCACAATGTAAATGTAAAAACGTGGCTGAAATCGCGCGCATGAACAATCGTGGAACTTGGAGAGAAAGAATACAGAAATAACCAAGCCCGGCTGGAGGTTTCCTCCATAGTCGTCCGGACGTTTCTGGGTGTCTGTAACACCCCCCCCTCTCACCTGTCCCTCGGCGCCCTGCACCTGCGCCGAGGCGGTGGCGACGCGATCCTCGAGCCACGCGAGCTCGCGCTCCGTGGTCGCCGCGTGGATCCCGCGCGCCCGCTCCTCCAGGTGCCGCAGCTCCTCCTCCAGCTCGAAGGCCTGGCCCGCGCCCACGTACACCTGCGGGCACGCGGGACGGCCACGGGGGCCCGTCGAGTGGGGGGAAGGGGGGGGTCACGGTCACGTCCGAGACAGGGCTCTCTCGCGTGTTGACCTGCCGCTAGGTCTGGGCTGCCCGGGGCCCGCGGTCTATTCTATCGCGCTCGTTGCGCGCGACAGACGCGCGAGGTTGCATAGATTTTTGCGGGTTTGCTGGCGGAATGGAGTAGGTGGGCACGTGACGACTGCCGAACTAATACGTTATAATAAAGTCGCGCTCGTCGCACGCACGCACACACACACAAAGTGCTTGCCACAAATGAACGAAAACACCTTGCTGATCTCGTCAATTCCGGCGATCCTCGCAGCAGCAGCGGCGGATTTTGGCTGGTAGGCCATCGAACAAAGACGGCGGTCACCGCGTCGCACGGCGCTTTCAGATGCGCTTCTGCGGCCGTCTGGAACGCTCTTCCTTCCGATATTAGGAAGCCACTGGAGCTATGCACTTTTAAATCGTCTAGATTTAAAACTCATTTCTTTAGATCGATTTTTGTGTTTAGTTTGTTGCCCTTCCCCCGCACCTCCGATTAGTACGGTTGTCTACGTACAGGTGCAAAAGAAGTTCAACATACATGCGTATATACATGTAGCATCTACAATGAGGAGGAATAATGGATGTGGTGTGACGGGTGCAAAGATATGTTTTTTTTATGGTCACCGACCAGGATTAGTCCCCGGGTGTAGTTTGTTAACCTATGTGCACCTGCTTTACCTCCAATAATAAGACTTGGATATAGGAAAAGCCGCACAGAGTAACATGCGAGGCTAATTGTTTTGTACGTTGGCTGAAAGCGGCGTAATCCATGACGACAACAACAACAAAAAACCCTACACGTGTGAGGATAGCAACTGAAAAGGTCCGCACAGATAGGGATAATGACTCCGACTCACTGTACTGCAATCGTTTGGCACCCCTCACAGCCCCAATGGTTTTTGGGAGGTTCACAAGTCGGCACGCGATTCACCGACCCTTGCCGCCAGATGGTTCTGCTGAAAGCACAGCGAGCACTTCGTTTCGTTGTTTGTATCGACCCCACGGTTTCGTTGGAAAGTTTTTTTTATTTTACACGCCTTCATTTAACTCACTCTGTTGTTGTATCCTCAAATCTTGTAACTCAATTATAACCCACTTCCCAATGTCGTATCGACTGCAAACTTGGTATACGTATGTCATACTGATGACAATACTATATTATATCATAAAACAAAAATTAAGCAAATCTTTTTTATATCGTATGTTTCGGCTTGGGTCTAACTGTCTACGGTAAACTCACGTCGGCTGTAATTGACCACGGTCCCTTACGTTATGGCAAGCTTCGGGGCCACTTCCTGGAGTCGTGGAGTTATTCCATTGCTCGTACATTTCATAAAAGCGTGTTTTGAAAAAAGTTGTTTTAAATATTACTTATTGCAAATGGAGAGCGGAGAGCGCTGGGTCAGCCGCGCGACACTGAGGCGTGACCGATAACTGGAAGCGACGGGCAGAACAAAAAAAATGACACGTCACTGTCATGTTCAAAACGAGCTGTGATGTGTCACCCTGACACAACTTATGCAAATGATATACAGTGATCAAATACAATACACACACTTGAGTCGACATCGGCATTGAAAATAAAATGTAAAAAATAATATGTGAACGTATATGTCATCTAAAGATACAGTATATTGCAGTCAACTGTTTCAGATTAATTAACAATTGATCATTTTCCATCTTCAATGCAATCATCACCATCGGCTGCGATCTTAGCTACTGCTGGATGAAAGTCCCCCCAGTTCATCGCAATCTCCCTCGCAGTCCTGCAATTATCCATCTAACCCCTGCACATGATCCAATTTCATTGCTCCATCTCCGCAAAGGATGTCCTTTTGGGCCCAGTTCACTTATTTTGGCTGCTACTCTGCCATTAGAAAGAAGTAAAACATACATACATTAGTCCAGACCAGTTTGTTCTTAACCTGGGGGGCACGAGACGCCCTGTCTGAGAACCAGTAAAAGTTAAGAACCACTGGTCTAGACTGTCGAGTGATCATCCCTTGTCTCTGAAACGAATGCGTGGTCTCTAATCCACGCTTTTTTCTCCCTCTCTCAGTGGAACTCCAAGCTCAGACCTCTCCGCCCTTCTGTTCCATTTTCTCTATTCGGGTCAACAACGTCATGGCAGGTGATTACGCACCGATCAAAACTGTCTTCATTCGGCACTTGGGTACATCGCATTTCATTGTCAGTTCCGTGTTCGAAAAAAAAAAATCAAGCCTGATCTCGTCGGCGTATTTAATCCATCGCATTGATCTCGGTCCACCGACAGTGTTCACTGCCCCAGGTCGACACATTCAGTTGTGTCCTTCCATCATATTTTTACGTTTCCAAGCGAATTCACGTGGATTTTGCTTTGCTCATCACACTTCATACCATAATTCGGTACAAACAGTCGCCAAAGAGCTCAATTTAATTTGTTTCAGCATTGGCCCTGGTTCTCTGTTGATTTCCACAGCGACTCCATTGGCCTGGCAACTTTTACGTAATCCTGTGAAGAGCGGTGGTTTTGTCTGAATCTGAACTATGCTTATTTTTTTCCCATATATATTAACGCACCTATTCAACAACAACAAAATCTCCACTAGTTACGTTTCCGTCGAGGATGCTTGCACTTCGAGTGGCTGGCCCTTTGTGAGATTGCTGCTGTGACTGCTCTTATCGAGTGTCGGAATATTTGCAGACGTTTTTGTCTCGGGCTCTTTTACATTGCTTTTGTGTTATTTCCCGGATTGTTTGGCATTTTCATCCTTTTTGTTAATCTCTATTTTTCATCGCGAAGCTTTTTGGGGTTTTTACATAACGCTCGATGTTTAATGTTTTTTCATACATCTACGGTTTATACGACGAGCAGCGCTCCGACCATGTAATTACATGCGTGTCTCTTTCCGTACGGCATCGTCGCAAGATCACGGTGTCCCTTGACACGGCCGTATTCGGACACGTTAGATAACCGCCACTCGGCCGTGTCGTATCGTGTTTGACCCACACAGCGGCACGGCCTCTAAACACCGCTATCGGGGCAGGTCGTGGAACAGGAGCCGTTCCAGGGACGACGAGACCCCCGTACCAAGCGTAGCAATCAGCCTGCTTGCTGGAAATGTACGCATCAAGAAAAAACATCTGAATCGCACACGATATGTCCATTCAATGCCTTAATTATATGCGTAAAGACGATGCTGCCACGTGGTTACGGTTGGCACACTGGACTTGCCATCCGGCGGTCGCAGGTTCGACCTCCAGGAGTGGCGGTTGAAACAAGCTTCTTAAATCCCTCCTCATCTGTCACTCATCTCTCAACCCAGCAAGTTCACCACCCAGTCTATCGGCAGATCAACTGTGTGTTGGAGTAAAGTGTGGGTAATACCACCACTTCCAAAACGTCCGTCCAGGGAGGAAAAATAGGCGATGAATATCGTCTGGTGGATGTCATTCTGCCGACTGTGGCGTTAGCAGGTACTTGCAGGGCTGCATCTTTACCTTTTAATAACACGTAGGCATTTTCTTATAATATTGTGTATCAGAATATTTTAATTATAGGATTTTAATCATCGTTCAGCGTGCTTACCCAGAAAATCCTCATTCATTCCCAATTCTCTTTTTCAGTAGCGTTCTGCCAAGAAATATTCTTTTTGCCGAAGACGGTGATGTTGCCACGTGGAATCCCAATCGAGTAAATTTTTCAGCATCAACATTATCACGATGATCGACGATGACAGAGGGATGGATGACCGCGACGAACAACAGCCCTTACGTTCTCCTCCAGCTCGGACAGCCGCTGGTCGAGCGCCCTGGCCACGCGTCGCGACGGCGCGGGGCCGACATCGCCGGCGCCCGGCCGGGAGAGCAGCCGCTGGGCGTCAGCGATGAGGCGCAGCGCGTGGGTCGTGAGGCTGCGCAGGGAGGCAGCCGTGTACCTCTAAGCGGAAGCAGGTCACCACAGCGGCAGGGCCACAGCGTCACGCGCGGAGGGGAACGGAGACATTGGGAGGGAGGGAGGGAGGGGAAACAAACTCAAGCCTTCCACCACGAAGCATTGTCGGGGGAGGGGTGGGGTGGGGGCGCGTAGGGCCAGCCCAAGCCATTCAGAATCGAAGATCATTTTTAAATTGTTGCCATTTCTGTAGCTGCAAGACACGTTTTGATTTGCCCCCCTGCAACCCCCAGGCTGAGATCGTCAACAAAATATTTCCTGGATTCCAATGCAGATTATCAACATGAATGAGCCGAGAGTGCTGAGTGCCACACCTTCCGCATCTCCGTCTCGACCTCCTCCTCAGCATCACCCTCATCTGTGGCGGCGGTGATGGAGTCCGAATCACCGGCTGTCTCATCTTCCCCCTGGTCCTCCCCCTCCTCTTCGTCCTCCTCCTCCTCGGCGAGGATCGAAGTGGACATCCTCTCCTGCTGCTGCCCGTGTCTCAGCGCCGTGCCCCGTCGCAGAGGGCGCGGAGCGTCCCCGTGACGCTGGCCCAGCTCCGGAGACGACACGGACCTCACCCCACTCTGACAGCAGAGGGAGCAGAGGATGGAGAGGGAGCGGAGGATTGAGAGGGTGCAGAGGGTGGATGATGAAGAGAGTAGAGAGAACGAAGTGAGTAGAGTGGAGAAAAAACAGGAAGTAGCAGGGCGGAAGATGAGGAGAGCGAAGAGAGTGATGGATGGAGAAAGTGGATGACAGAAACGGAGAGCAGAGTGGTCAAGTTGTGATGAAGTCCGTTACACACACTGCTCGAGCACCGCGTGATCAACGGATTCTTCAACATTTCGTCAGAATTTTCGTGCCGTGTGCCACCAGGGCACCTGGCGGCACCTCGCCCGTGCTCCGTACCTGGGCCCACGTGTGGGACGGCGCCAGTCCACTCTCCAGGCGGCACAGGCTGCTCTCCAGCACCGCCAGGCGGCTGGACAGCGCCGCCAGCTGCAGGCGTGCTCGCAGAACAGAGGAGAGCGCCGACACGTGGCGATGGTGACAATGGTGTCAATGGTGGCAATGGTGGAAATGGTGGCAGTGGTGGCAGTGGTGGCAGTGATGGCAGTGGTGGCAGTGGTGGGAATGGTGGCAGTGGTGGCAGTGGTGGGAATGGTGCCAGTGGTGGCAGTGGTGGGAATGGTGGCAGTGGTGGTAGTGGTGTCAATGGTGACAATGGTGTCAATGGTGGAAGTGGTAGCAGTGGTGTCAATGGTGGCAGTGGTGGCAGTGGTGGGAATGGTGGCAGTGGTGGCAGTGGTGGCAGTGGTGGCAGTGGTGGCAGCGGTGGCAGTGGTGGCAACGGGGTGGGGAGTGGGAGGATGGAGACACGGTGACAACGTTCGGGGAAAAACATTTGAAAAAAAAAACAGGTGACAAGAGTGGCAGCGACGTTAGACACAGGGATGGAATGGAGCAGAGGAATGAAACAAATGTGAGGTCCACGGGAGAATAAGCCACGATGGTGTGAAGTGACAGAGGAGTTTATTGAGAACAGATTTAACGACACGAATCACACAATTCAGCGCGTTGGTGGGGTATTTGAATGCATGAGTCTTTCAGGTTTTTTTTTGCTAACTTGCGCACAATCTTGTTTGACACTCTGATTACGAAAAAAATTCCCAGGTTTCACATGCAACAAAAACTGCTTTATTGGACCGTCTCACTTCTTCATACGTAAAGTTTATAAAAAGTAAAACGTATATAGCCTCTGTTCAGTCTCTATTTGCCACGGTAAACAATGGCAAGCGAACGCAAGTCCTTTCAGTGCGTTTCAGTCATTTATTTTCAACTTACTGAAATCTTGCGACGACAATTGCATTGCAAATGACAAAAGTGAGGTTCTGTGGGACTTGCAGTGGTTTTATTTTCATCACATAAGACATTTATTTTCACTACCTGTGAGTGAGTCAGTCAGCGATAACACTAAAAAGCCATTTCCATCGTCAATAGACACGTATCAGCTCATTCTTACCCCAAAAACCCAGGGACCCTGTGGCAGTGATGAGAGCAATATACAATGTATGACCTTTGACCTGGGTCAAAAAATCCTCACCAACATTTCCACCGTAATCATCTTTAAGTTTTCTAAAAAAAAATACATATTCAAAATATTTGAAAAGTTGTGAGTCAAGGACAATTTTCTAAAATGAAGAAAAATCCGTGTTATTTTTTGCGGAGGAAATTTGAGCCTTAAGTGGGTAGTGCTGGATTGAGGGGTGCGGGGGGGGGATGTTAAACTGCGAAAATCCACAGGAACTCCATAGTCGACTCACACCACAGGGGCCGGAGTCACCCCACGACAAGCAGCTGTACCTGATCCAAGCACCCCGGGCTGCCCTCGGCACCCTCTTCCGCCGAGCCTTCCCCAAGCACCCGCGCTGGGCCCTCACGCAAAGTCCTCCTCGGCCCGCGCTCCGCAGCCGTCGGTGGCCCGTCGACAACCCCCGCCGCTTCTTCCGCGTCGCAACCCACTGGGCCGCCGCGACCTTCGCCGCTGCGCTCGGGCGCGAGCAATTCGCCGGGGCCGTCGCTCTCGGCCCCGGTCGGACCCGCGTCTGCGCGCGGCTGTCGATCTCTTCCACGGTGGCCAAGGCCCAGCGTCGCACGAACGGCATCGTCGTCGTCGATGGGGTAGTCGCCGCTGCGATGGCCGCACGCCGACTCTTCCCCCGAGTCCCCGCCTCCCCTCTGCCCGACTGACGCGGGCCACTCATCCGAAGAATCTCGCACGCCGATCGTTTCCCCTCCCGCGGCGGCAACCGTTGAAGGTCCAGCGTCGGGCGGTGGCACCGCCGGCGATGGGTCCACGGCGGCGCCGGGGGAGATGCTCGGATCGGCCGGGAGGCTGTTGGCGGTTGAGGAAGAGCGGCTAGCATCCCTGCAGACCCCGTCGCCTCCGGGACCACGCGGTTCGTCCGTCTCCTCACCCGGCGTGTCGGAGCAGCGGGGGTCATCCTCGCCGTTGGCATCACCGCCGGCTGCGGTCACGGAACGTCGCACACCCCCGGCGTTCCCGGCGTTCCCGTCGCTCCCGACGTCCCCGCAAGTGTGAGCGGATGTGGTGGGGCCCGGAAGGAGCTCGGAGGTGAGGGTTGGTGCGAGGGATGCACGGTCGCGCCGCCGTGCGGGCGCGGAGCGGCGGGGGCTGTCCGTGTCCGGGGATGTGGTGGGGTCACTGTCACCGCCATCGTTACTCGGCATACGGAGGACCCCACCGTGACCGGGAAATGCGGCGTCACCGTTCAATAGCTGGGGGAGGGGAGGGGAGGGAGGGAAAGAGGTAGGGAGGGAAAGAGGAGGGAAAGAGGAGGGAAAGAGGGAGGGAGGGAAAGCGATTCTCAGCGTGACTAAGATGCTTGTGAGCGAGCGAGCGAGGCTTGACGTCACGGGTAACATGGCCAATCCAGGGTGTAACCGTTAGGTATGCAATGATTCACCGTCCCTCCCAGGCCGGGTGATTTGACAAATTATAATGATTCAGAATCAAGGTCCAGAATCATGATTTAATTTAATAATTTGTTTGCTTAATCTTTGTACCGTTTGTCTCACTTGCGCAATTTAGCTTGCTCTGTTAGCCCATTTCTCAAATTAGGATATGTTTATAGAATGTATTTCACACCATACATAGCCAAACGTGCTAATCAGAGGTTCATTTAACTGTAAGGAAGAGCTTTGTAAGAGCGTTTTAAATGAGTGCAAAGTCCAAAAGTGCACTGACAAACAATGGAAAGACCTATACTTGAAATCACGCTGACAGACAGAAAGATGAACACGTGGATCAGGGAATAGATGGAGATTGAAGACATCGAACTGACTGTAAAGACAAACCAAGTGGGCTGGGGGAGGACACGTCATGAGAAGGGTATGCAACCAATGGTCGAGACTGGTGGCAAGAGTGGCAGCTGAAGGATCTAACGCGCCCGACAGCACGTCCACGGAGGAGATGGAGTGTGCGAGTGCTGGTCGGATTGTTGCATCGCAGCATCGTGAGTGAAAGCGACGGCTTGGGAGACCTTCGCCCGGCAGTGTATAAGACCATGGCTGGTGATGCTGATGCTGATGAAAGTAATGAGGTGTGATTTGGTCTATGAATTTCACCATTTGAGCTCTACCATAAGCGACGGCGTTACCGTCTATAACGGCAGGGGTCACGGTTGCATGCTCCACGTGGGCGTGAACGTGAACGGTAATGAGTGACTGAATCATCAGACGCAGATCAAGGCAATGCCCTTAATTCGCCGAGTGCACGGAGGCAGAGCAATTCGCAAATGAAGCTCGTTAAAGGCCTAACAGTCTGACCCGTGTGTTTAAGTGGCACAGTGGCCGAGTTGCTCGATTGCTGGGGTCAAAACTTCAAATGCTGCACAAATATAATGTCTCTCCTGCGGGTCACTGATATGATGGGACCAGCGGCTATGCTCATTAAACTGCCTGGCCTGAGTCTTTAAGTCAGGATTTGTCAAATTCGGGTTTTCCCGACTCACCACGGCACGCCTCTCCGAGTTCACCAATTACACACTACTGGACATCTGTGAAAAAGAGCGTTTTAGCTCATCGGATTCCTCCAGTGTAAAGAGATATTCTGATTCTGGCTACGGCGATCAACTTGCAGTTTGTAACGGTGGCTCGCACAATGGATAGCGCACTGTGCCGGCAACCCTGCAAAGCGGAGTGAATTTCTCCGGACACGGCTAACATCAGCGGCGAATGACGAGGGAGACGCTGCATGACAATCACGGCACGCAGCGGTGCGTTTTTTTTGTGGTAAGATTTGCTAGTTTATCCAGGATGTTTCTGTTGCGCGTCATCGCTTTAAGATGTTCTCCGTTCATATTTTGTTTGTTGCGGTTGCACCCGACTTAAGAGCCGCATGGCTCACAGGGCTACACCAAATACATGAAACTTGAAACTTGAACGCAACCGCGACTGCATCGCGATCGTGCCGTTCGCGTCCGGTGGCGGCGACGATCGCAGCCCGATCAGCGCGGTGCTCTGTGGGAGATCTCCCCGCTCTGTTCCAGCCGAGCGAGGGGCGCCCTCTGCTGGACCCAGCACGTTCCAGCACCACACGCTGAACGGCCACAATCAAGGTGAAAGACAACTCTTGGGCTCATATTCTTAGGTTTTTTTCTGGAAAAGTCACGTGGGGACAAAAAAATTAATACAAGTAAAATAAAAAATAAATAAAAATCACGACGTTTCGGAAGCAACACAAGCTTCCGTCTTCAGGTGGAACAGGTCACAGCACGATAGCTGAAGAAGAAAGCTTGTGTTGCTCCCGAAACGTCGTGATTTTTATTTATTTTTATTTTACTTTTATTCATTTAAATTTTTTACCTACGTGACTTTACCGAAAAAACCTAAGAATATGAATCCTTGCAGTCACGAAAGCTTCAAATCTAGACTCTTGGGCCTTTTCTTTATCCACAAGGTAAGGTTTGTTTAATCCACGGCACGGATCTACACCATCGTTCTCGCTCTCTCCTGCAACGTCCCGAACTCCGCCTTCCTGGCTCTGCACCTCCACGCACTCAGTCTCCACCAATCACCACCTCTCTTACCCTCACCTGGCCTCACCGTCCCACCTGACGCTCACCCACCCACCCACTCACCCACTCACCCACTCACCCACCCACTCACTCACCCACTCACCCACCCACTCACTCACCCACTCACCCACTCACCCACCCACTCACCCACTCACCCACCCACTCACCCACTCACTCACTAACTCACCCACCCACTCACCCACCCACTCACCCACTCACCCACTCACCCACTCACCCACCCACTCACCCACTCACTCACCCACTCACTCACCCACTCACCCACCCACTCACCCACCCACTCACCCACTCACCCACCCACTCACTCACCCACTCACCCACCCACTCACTCACCCACTCACCCACTCACCCACTCACCCACCCACTCACTCACTAACTCACCCACCCACTCACCCACCCACTCACCCACTCACCCACCCACTCACTCACCCACTCACCCACTCACCCACCCACTCACCCACTCACTCACCCACTCACTCACCCACTCACCCACTCACTCACTCACTCACCCACCCACTCACTCACTCACCCACCCACCCACTCACCCACCCGCTCCCTCTTTTGAACTGTCCCTGGCTCTGCACCTCCTCGCACTCCGTCTCCACCAATCGCCACCTCTCTTACCCTCACCTGGCCTCACCGTCCCACCTGGCCTAACTGTCCCACCTGACGCTCACCCAACCCCTCCAGCTCATTTCCCTTTTGAATGTTCCGGCCGATCCTCTTGCTCCCCGTGCCCCCCGACCAATCGGAGCGTGGAGTGTTTGCTCTCGCCTTCTTGATTACTCTGTCCCAGGGATCGTTTGGGACAATCACTACAAAGGTTTCATTGTTTTGGGCTATATAGTGCGTCAATGTAAATGTGCCGCTAACCCGCCACCACCCGCCACAGCCAATTAGTAAGGTTTGTCACGTAGAACAAAAGGTGCCAATTCGTTACTAATTCAGCACATCCAGTTTGTTGGAGAGTGTACCCACAAGATTTACAATTGGAGCACGACGTTTCTCTGGCGATTACAACAACCAGCTTTATCAGGCGATTGTCCAGAATTGTCAAGTCGTCTTCTGCACGTGGCTGATGATTGGTAAACACAAAGACGTCTTCACAATCCTTAAGCCATGGCCGGGAATCGAACGCAGGTCGCCGGGTTCATAGTACAAAAGAACAAAACAAATTGCCATAGCGTGTGATAAGAGGATTTTCACTCGAAGAGGAATTATTTTAAATCGCTCTTAAAAGGGTTATGGGCTCAAACAGTAAAACCCTGCAGCTACATTGAAGCTGCCAAGACTCATGGCCACGACCAAACGAAACAATATAAATGCCATCTGTAACGCTCTCAAAACTAAGGTTGAACACGTTAATGCGTTAGCCCTGTTCATCTCTCTGCCCGTCCGTCTGTCACAGGGGAGATCATCAAACCGCTCGTAAATATGTATGCAACTGGAATTCGATTTCACAGTTTTTCTTCTTCTTCTCAAGGTTGCTGAGCAAGACCCGCAAAGGTCCGAGAAATAAACAGCACTTTTAAAGTTGTAATAGACAAGAGTTAATATGAGAACTTTGGAAAAGATACGATGGGAGGAAGTTCCAAAGTCGAGCAGCGCGAGCAAACGGAAGGGTCGTGGCCTGCAGCTTGCTGACTGAACGCATCACCGACGAGACGGAGCAGTCGCTCTTGTGGACAGCAGGGGGCGATGATTGCTGCGTTCTCGGAACGCTGTCACATCCTGCTGGCAACTTTCACAAAGCGAGACCGCGATGCCAACACACGCGGCCTGCCCTCGTTCAACCAACGTGACGGCGCGGAGAATGTCAGAATCAGAATATTGATTCACACTGGAGGAATCCGATGAACTATGAAGCTCTTTGTCGCAGATGTTCTACTGGACAGCTTTGAAAAATAGATACACGTCCGGACTTGACATCTGTGAAAAAGATCTTTATAGCTCTTCGGACTCCTGGAGGACATCTGTGAAACACACCCGCAGCATTGACCAGGGCGGCCGTGGGGGCTCGCACCGCCAAGCTCAGCAACAAGCGGCGAGCAACCGGGCTGCCAGCGGGCCACGTCCACCGGTCCCCAGCACCGGCCGCTGAGCGTGCTACCTTGCTGGTGATGCTGGCGGTGAGTTCGCTCACGAGGACGGCTCCGCTTCCGCGAAGGACGTCCAGCTGCTGCTCCTCCTCCACCCCTCCCTGTGGGAGAGACAAACGCAGCCGGGGGAGCGACGCGGCTTTAAGCGGGGGGGGGGGGGCACCGCGGTGGTGGGATGTTATCTCCCTCGCCTGGTATGCAGGAGGTCGTGGGTTTGGTCCCGACCCTGACGCCTGCTGTATACTTTGGGGAGTTTGCGTGTCTCTCTCCTCTTGGTTGCGTAGATTTTTTCCCCCCAGGTCCTCCGGTTTCTCCCTCCACATTTAGAAACGTGCGTTTAGAGTATTTGGCTGCGATAAAATTCCACGTGATAAGCCACTACATCGAGCGATCATTGGCGGCCAGGTCACTCCTGAAAAAGAGCTATACAGCTCTAGTGGGAGGCTTTGCCCGGTAATAAAATCGTGTTTAGTTTCGACGACATTTTAGACCGCTTTAGGTGAACTGAACCGCGAGGACGCACCACGAACAAATCCAGAGGCGAGGGGCTCGACTAAAAATCCACGAATCGTCGCTGTCGACTAAGGACTCTGGCCGTGACATACCGCCGGCGGCGGCAAGGTCAATCGAGCGGCAGGCCCGCGCGAGCCGTTGACCTTTTGGCGAACGAGCGACGCCGTCGGCGTGGCCGTCGTGGGGCCGTCGCTGGCGGCGAGCGTCCCCGTGGAGCGGCGTCCCCGGCGCTCGGCCCGCGAGGAGAGGACCTCGCGCACGGCGTCGCTGGAGGCGCGCCACGCGGCAGCGCGCACCTCAGCCATCACCGAGTCTGGGGGGCAGAAGCCAGGCGGCACGAGAGAGGGACAAGCGAGAGACTTACCCTCCCCCCCACCCATCGCCACCCCCCCCCCCCGGCCGCCCCCGCCCGCCCGAGAGACTCGAGCGTGAAATTGTGTCGTAGAGAGAGAGAAAATTCGGTGGCACGTAGCGGATCTGTCGACAAGGTGTTGAATAAAAAGCAATGGTGATAGCTACGGCCCGGTGGTGGGGAAAAAAACTGCAAGTGGAAATTCGCTTGTACCGACGCATCATTTGATCATTTGACATCGATTCTTTACCCGTAAGACTCTATGCGTGCATCATAAGTGTTGGAATGAATGTTCATGGATGAATCGATGCAATGGGTCTTTGTAGAATTTCCACTGCTGATTTTGTACGATAATTGTCTATCCACCAAGATGAATCAGAAAGTGTACTCAAATGTGCAACGCCGGGCTAAGGGGCTCAACGTTAAAAGCCACATCACGTGCTCACGGCATTCTCCACTGTTTTTCCACCACTGGTTTCCACCACGATCCGCCACGATCTACCCATTGCTGGATGAAGGCCTCTCTGTCCCCATCACTGACAGCCCTGCGATGCTCCGATCTGTCTCACTCGTGCACCTGAGCTGATGTAAATAACTCCATCTCAGCGAGTTGTTTCATCCGCTCGGGTGCGTTCCTCCTTTGCCTTCTATTCCGTCACCAGTCTCGTCGTGCCTTATAGCCGCGGCGTGCACAACCCAATCCCACTAACTTTTCTGCGCGCTCAATCTGATGTTCATGATTTGCAATCAATCCCCGATCTACGTGTTACACTTGTCTGTCTCAGTGCAATTAAAAGCACGCACCTCCACGGCACTTCTCCCACGCTTCTCACAAACGCAATCGTCTTCACGCTGCGCTTTCGGCCACCCAAACGCCATTCAAATTTTGCCATCAGATGCCAATGTGAGCAGGGAGCGAGCCAGCGAGCCGGCGAGCCAGCGAGCATCACCCACGCTGGTGGCGGCCCTGCTGCCTGGCTGACTCCCATCGCTGTCACGGGACCCCGGGCCGGTGTGCCGTCAAGCACCTGTCTCCAGCTCCAACCAGGAGGGAGGGGGGGGGAGACTTCCATCTGCTATCGTTCCCCAGCACACGTGGGTGCCTGCCCGTCCACTAACACGTGACTTTTTTGCCGAGGACATCTCGGAAACGGCAGCCGCATGGACCCCGACCTGGGTGCCCGTGCCGATTCCTTTAGCTTTCAGTTATCCAGCCACATGCCCAGATACACGTCTCACTTCCTCCGAATTAATTTCCCAGGATTGCGCTAAAATTGAGCGAAGATTTTTTTTGCTTCAGGTTGCGCGGCGGAGCCTGCCCTGTTGTCACCTAATCCACAGCGATCGTGCCTGAATTGGAATGGCGCGCTGGTAATGGTTTAACGTCGAGCAGTTATGATTACAAATGATAGACTAACAATACACACAATTATCTTAAAATGTGCACTGCCATGTAGGTCATAAAATACCATCATTTGCAGCAAATTTCTCAAACCATTGCTGGATGATAAAGTCCCCCGGGGGAGGTGGGAGGTTCTGAACATTCTTCCCCATGCTGGTGAGTGCTGGTAGGCTCACATATCACTCGCCACTCGTGTTAATTGGAGCTGGGAATCCAATTCAGGTCGCTGGTTTCAAAGTGACAAAGCGCAAACCACCACCCCACCCACTTGCATGCATTAAATATATTACTTCATTAAATTAGTTCATCAGTGTCAGCATCATCATCACCAATTTTTTTATACTTCACTGGATGTATTAAGACCCGAGTCAATCCACAATTGAAGAACGATATCGTTATTTTAGACAGAAATTCCTCGCTGAAACTCAAGAAAGACTTCCATGCGGGTCCTGCATTTGGATGTTTGGCCAAATTCCTTTTGCACAGCTCCGGCAACCGCCCCTAGAGCCAACACACGCAACGTACGAGCGTCGTGTTTCGTGGCGCGCAGCAACTGGGTCGTCACGGCGAGCGTTTGTAACGATTCAGGGCCACACTCGGCAAATTTTTACCACAAGCCGATGGAGTAGCATGGAAGGAAAATCCTCACGGAAGTATGTAAAGACCAACTTACACGAAGCACCAACACTCACCAGCCACATAAAAGAATTGGTTTTACCCTTTCTGGCAATAAAACAGGTGTTAAGATGTTAGAAAACACCAAACAAAAAACCTTTTGCAAGGAATCATGTCTGCATTAACCGCACATACTCGTGGTGAACATGCAAACAAAAACATGCTCTGGTAGTATACGCATTGTCTTTGAAACTGATTGGTCCACACCAGAGACAGCTTTCTTTAGAGCCTAGTCTCAAACAGTGTTGGACCATTTTTCGATTTAAAGCTTTCGTGACTGCAGGGATTCATCTTCTTGGCTCTTTCGGTAAAGTCACGTAACAAAGTCACATGACTTTACCGAAAGAACCAAGAAGAGTGTTGGACTAGAGAACGCCAAAAGTAGGACAGCACAAGGACAATGCACTATCGGGCGTGCGCTTTTAAGAGACGGCATCGCGAACGTTAAACGGACGCAACGCACCCCCTCCCCCCTCCCCCCACACTGGTGACCATCATTGGCCAAGCTCGTTCCAGTCACGCGCGTCAAATTACATTTGCGCGAGCAGCCTTGAAGAAATGTTGAAAAACATTAAATTAGCCTGACGGCACCGCGCCTGACGGGGGCCTAATCCACGACCGCTGCTGTCGTCTCGACGGAGAGGTGAGCCGGCCGTGTCGTTGAGATGCGTAGCCGTGGCGCGTCGATTCCATGATGCGGGGCCGTTACGATCACCCGTTATAATCGCTCACAGATTCCAGGTCTATTTTGCACGGGCAGTCTATTGAACGGCATTGGTATTGTTATTCGTAGTTTTGTTTTGTTGATCTGCTCTGTATTGCGCTTGGTGGTGGTGGTGGTGACCTTTGCGCATGATGAATACTAATACGCCATCTACCCCTGCGCGCTGCACAACGCCGATCGTGCGCCCAAGAATTAGATCGCTTACAATTTACGCGACGTTGAACACGCACGCTATGCTTACATTACATTTAGGCTACAGGGGCAAGATGTACAAATAGGGCAAAATAAAACCGATAGTACAAAATAAGGCTGTGAAAAAAGGGACAAAATAAACAATCGATCTTGAATGGGCCCACGACTCCGAAATGTGGTAATGTATTTAATTGCTGGAGTCAGGGTTGGGAGAAAGGAGACGCTCTATGGTCTCATACCACCGAGTCTGAATTGCGACATTGCCAATGTTGTCACGGCGCTGCTAGGGGGCTCTAGAGCCATAGAAATCACACTCCGGAAGTCACAACACGGGCGGCGTGCGGATGCCACCATTATTTAGGCAGTGGCGTTAACAAATGGGTTGAGTGTTTTGTTGTCGTTGTTGTGTGTGTGTTCATTATTTGGAGGTGGCTGGGTGGCTCAGAAGTCAAAGCGAAGCTGACCCAGAACCATTGGGGACCCGGGTTCAGGTCTAGGCTTCGGTCTCGCTGCGATTAAATCAGATGATGGTTGCCGGCTCGGTCACAAACGACTGCACATCGAAATCAAATGCAGGTTTTGTTTGTCACTTAACTTGGCTACCTTCCAGCTATGAGAATAAAAAATATCGGTTCGACTATCGCACAATGACAAACACCAGGTTCACAGCCGAGTAAGCACGTGAGGGCGGCTTGTCATAGGCTCCGTGAAAATCTCTTGCCCAGCCATTGAAAGTCGTGCGAGGTCCCACTACTCTGCTGAGATTTCCGAATGGATTTTTAGTCTCATAGGACGTGACGCCAATCTCGCACGCCGGGAAAGAAAACTGCACGAAGGGGGGAAAAAAGGCTTTGCTAAAAGGACGCGGTTGACCTGAATTTACACACAATTCTCGACATTGCAGCACGTGGACTCAAATACAATCACGGTGTCCTTCCGAGCTGAAATATTGAAGCCAGAAAATTAATTTCCTGCTGCCACAGCATGCTCACTCATGCTCGCTCCACCCCCCCACCACCGCCCTGTTCCCGTGTGTGGATTTAACGCTTTCATCAAGTTCTGGCTCATGGCTCGATTCCTTCAAAAGGAAGAATTGCATTGGGGTGACGGCGACGGCGACGCTCACAACCCGCGCGTCGCTCGCTCCCTCCCGCTACGGGTGTGTCGAGGCCAGACGCAGGGCCTGACACGGGTCCACAAAGATGCCCTCTGGGGGAGCTGTGGATCGCGCGAATGGGTGAAGAAATCCCTTTAATTGGGCGCGGATCAGCTGGCTGCAGTGTGCCATCTCCATGCACGCGCGGTGCATTGGTGCTCCGGAAAAGGAGGGCCCACTACTTTTTGAAAATAAATTATATTCTCCAAATTGTTGGTCAAACTTGAAGGCATCTTCCACAATGAAGCAGAGGGACCAGGACCGGTTCAAATACCAAATGCCACTGATGTTTAGCCATGGTCGAGAATACAACTCTTTGACAGATCTATAGGACAATGTGCTAACCACAGCTTCACCCTCAATTAATTTACATGTATCTAAACTTGTCTATGTGTGTGTCACGATTATGAGGTTGTCTCTCTCGCCTTCTGTGTCCGTCCTTGTGTGTATCTCTCTGAGCTCTGTATCGATTCCCATCTCCCTATCTTTGTCTTTCTCTCCCTACGTGTATCTATTTATTTGTCTCTTTATGCATCTCTCTGTGATATGTGGCTGTCTCTTCATGTTGCCCCTGTATGTGTGTGTGCCTCTCTCTTTCCGTGACACCACACTCTCCACGTCTCTCTGTATCTGCCTCTATGACCTCTATGACCCCGCCGTCCTGCCCATCATCTGAGCGCTGTGACGCCTCGGGCTGACCGAACGCATCGCCTGTACTACGCGACGTCTCTATAAAATATTTTTTTTAACACCACTGGTCAACACGCCAACGCTCGTCGCCCATCCATGAGAGATGATCCGATCTAACGCTT